TCAAGGCTAAAAATATAGCTATTTGGTTAAACGATAGCAAGTTCATTATATCAAAAATTTTATGTTTTCCTTATATGCATGGAGATTTCCTTCTTGGAAATAATTTTATATATAAATACCTTCCAATGCAAATACAGGAAAAAATCATTTCATTAAGCATAAACAATGTCTTAATTCATATTCCATTATTAAAACAACATAAATATATTTGTGATAAAGAGTTTGCGTCTGTTCCGCGTCATGATTTAACTCCCATCATTAAACCTATTGATGAATCACATTGGATTTATAAAGTTTTAGAATAAAATTTTAGTGAAAATCCATTAAAACTATGGTAACGTAGTCCGCATTATTTTAGTTTGAAATTGAAAGACTCTAATGTTTTTATTAGAGTAGGACCAATGATCTATATAAGACAAGATATAGATGAATTTGATATTCAACTTCAGGACCCTTTAGATAAAAAGTTAATTGAAGAAACTAGAAACCCTCACTCTAGTCCAGCTTTTAGGATAAGAAACCATACTGAAATTAAAAGAGGAAAAATCCGAATGGTAGTTAACTATAAACGGCTAAATGAAAATTTAGAATTTGATGGATATTTTATTCCAAGAAAAGATGCTTGGATTAACTTAACCAAATTAATGATAAAAAAATCTTTAGCAAATTTGATTGTAAGAGTGAATTTTGGCAAATCCAATTGACTGAAGAATAAAAAAAATTGACAGCTTTCAGTATACTTAGAGGACATTATCACTGGAATGTTATGCCTTTTGGTTTAAATATAGCACCACAGGTATTTCAACCGTGGATGGATACAACCTTTAAAGATTTTAAGGATTGTTATGCAGTTTATATTGACGATATACTTATCTTTTTTAAAATCGAGGAGGAGCATAAGAAACATTTAAAATTACTTTATGAAAAATTTCAAAAACATGGAATTGTTTTGTCACCAAAAAAGATTGAACTAGAAAAAGAATCAATTGAATTTTCTAGAATAATTTTAGACCAGAAAGGTTTAAAATTACAGAAATATATTTTGTTCAAAGTACGAGATTTTCCTGATACTCTTGAAAATATAACACAATTACAATGTTTATTAGTTATTTTAAGTTATGAACGAAATTTTATCAAAAATATTTCAAAAATAGAAATTCCTTAGTTAACTAAATTAAGGAAAAATGTTATTTTTGAATGGACAACAGAAGATGTTGCTTTAATTAAACAAATTAAAGAAAATATAAAAATTTTACCAGATGTTTATCTTCCTTAAACAGGTGATAAATTAATTTTAGAAACGGATGTCTCAGATTCATGTTGGGGATGAGTTCTCAAAGCAACACCAAGTAAATTATTGCATGATAAAGAGATACTTTTGTCAGAAAATGGGAATCCAATATCCATAAAATTACAAAAAGAAGATCTAATTTGTGAATATAATTTTAGAACATTTAAACCAAATGAACAAAAATATATTATTTTTGAAAAAGAATTACTTGCAATAAAATTGGCTATAAAAAGTTTCCATATTTATTTAGCCCTAGAAAATTTTATTGTAAGCACTGATAATAAAGTAGTAAGAGATTTCTTAATCAATAAAAAACTTATTGAGCAAAGAACAAGATTAGCATGGTATAATAAAATTTCAGAATATACTTTTGAGGTAGAACATCTTAAAGGTACTAACAATTTTCTTACAGATTTTCTTAGTAGAAATTGTTTTCAGAAAATTAAATTACTAAACAAGTAATTTTAATTTTTGCAGAAGACCTCTAGACCAAGAGAAAGAAATGAACAAGGGTAAACAACCCGTACAAGGAGATTGGGTGACAATTGCTTAAAAAGCAATCCTCAGACAAGAAAAAGTTTATGTTGTGTTTGCAGGAAGACAACTTGAAATTTACACAGAATGAAATGATTGTAATAAGCAAGTTTGTGGATTTCCGAGAGCTAGTTTTAAATCCTATGATAGCATGACCAAAGTTAAAAAAAGCTTTTTACAGTGCACCATCGATACCTGTTTATCAAAATATTTTTTGTCAAATGAGAACTAGCCCAGTTCCAATTAATATTCAGACATCTAAACTAGATGAATATGAAATAAAGATTTTTTCAACCCCGATATATCCAGAGAAATTTATATAGAATTCAATGGAGTTTGGAAAACTCACATTGTAGACAACACAGTGAAATTTCGAAAACACATGGGAGTTTTGGCCAACAAATTAGCTGAACAAACAGTTAAGTTAAAAGAATTACAAAACCTTTGTTTTAATATCCTTAAACGAATGAATTGGAACGAAGATTTAAAAAAATTTCTTCAGCTATCATATCTCATATCAGATGAGTTTTCTGATCCAATTTTTGAACAAATAAAAAGAATTTGTCTTTTTGAAAAAGTAAGAACATTGCTTACAAAAGAAAATTTCCTTTTAATAAAAAATCAAGTTGAGGATTATCGTGATAAGATTAGAAAAATCTTAGAACAATCCTATGATAAATTAAATTTTATAGATGGAATTCCTAAAATAACCATCATGACAAATAATGAAATGTGATTTTTTGAAGATATAGATTGGGGATTAACTAATCAAGTTATTTTCCAAATTTTAGACCTAATTCAGTGGATAGAGTATCCAATGATCATAAAAGCAATGCTCTCATAGGTAGTAAAAGGCTTCTGATGGAGTAAATATTTTACATTTTGGATCTTCAACACAATCGGTTGGCGAGAACGAAAACATTTTTTCCAGCCATATCAAATTTTGTATCTCAAAGAAACTGAAGATTTCAAATTTGAAGACGACGATTTGGATAAAGAGCATCGGATGGAGAGATTGGAAAATATTCAAAAACTTCATTTAATAGAATATTGGATAGACAGTCTAATAACTGTTTCACATGCAACTTCTAATATCTATGGCTCAGCAAAGTTGCCATTCACGGTTATAGATGGTAGAATATTATTTGTAACTCATTTTCCCATAACATATCAAAGGTCTCCTATAAAAATTAATAAGGTTCTTGACATGTTATTAAATCTCAAAAAGAGAAATAATTTGAATCTTCCGTTCGAACTAGCCATGACCGCAAATGATGTAGAACAATTTCAGAATGAACGATACAGCCAGGATCCCGATTCTCCTTTACTAGAGACTGATGAAGAATATCGTAATCTCGTAAACAAGATGGAAGCATATTGGACCCCACTATCACATGCAGTTGTCTCATGAACGACACCAACATTATCCAGGACATGTGGAGCAACCTGCATTATTAGGCGGAAAGTGATCAGACAGATCCTTCAGCCGACGCTATGCAACAAATAAGATCAACCAAATCTTATCTATATCAATCTATTTCTTTGAACCACGGGGAGGGTAGATAGTGTATATAATTGTAGTTTGTTAGAAGATGGCAAATAATTGTAGTTTTTCATTTCGGTGGTGCTACATGCACCAATTAGTATACTAACTAATGTACCAACACTAGTTATGATATTATTACTGATCCCGCTCATTATACAAATTACAAATACTAAAAACCTCTTAAATTGTGCTACATCATCAATTGCTACACTAATTACACTACTACAAATATAGATAAAGATCACACTTTTTTGGTGTGATGTATGTTTTTTAATCACACCTTTTAAGTTTTATTAAAGTGTGGTCTTTAGGAGTGTGATTAAAAATGGTCATTTTTAATCACACTTTTTAAGTGTCATTAAAAAATGCTTTCATCACATCTTTTAAGTGTGATTAATAATATTTAGATCACACCTTTTAAGTGTAATTAAAAACATTTAGATCACACCTTTTAAGTGTGGTTAAAAACATTTAGATCACACCTTTTAAGTGTGGTTAAAAACATTTAGATCACACCTTTTAAGTGTTATTAAAAACTTTAGTTCACACCTTTTAAGTGTGATTAAAAACTTTAGATCACACCTTTTAAGTGTGATTAAAAACATTTAGATCACACCTTTTAAGTGTGGTTAAAAACATTTAGATCACACCTTTTAAGTGTGATTAAAAACTTTAGTTCACACCTTTTAAGTGTGATTAAAAACTTTAGACCACACCTTTTAAGTGTGATTAAAAACATTTAGATCACACCTTTTAAGTGTGATTAATAATTAATAAAACCTGTGATAAAAAAAAATTACATATTTAAAGAATAATCAATATTATTTATGCACGCGCATTTGAATAATGTAATACACACTATATACTATATTTTGAATCACAACCATATATTGAATGAAATAATATCATATATTTCATAAATGAAAGTTACATGTTTAAAAGTATATACAAAGAAATTAATAAAAAAAAATTAACTGTGATTACATACATTAAAAAATAAAAAATAAAAAACTTGAAAAAAGTAAGTTCTTGAATTCTTTGACCATATTTTGCATCTCTCCAAGAAATTTCTGACCTGAAAAATAAAAAAACAAATTAATTTAAAAACCGCCAGAAGCATATGAATAAACTTACTAATTAATTTATAAACTTACATTTAGATCACACCAAAAATAATGTAATTTATCCAGTTGTTAAACTGCCCCAATCCTTTCCCCACAGCCACCAAAAATGACATAATTATTTTGATTCTCCACACAAATATCAGTAAAACAACACCACAAAAGAAGACAATATGCAACAATGCAGAAAGGATCACATAAATGATAAAATGGAGTATTATATGGACAATCAAAATCATATGATATCAACATATAACTCACTAAAAACTATAAAACAAATAAGGATCAATAAAGCTTATTGGTCTTAAAAGCAGAAACCACATAGCCTGAATAATTACAAATTGGTACACCCATCGATGGAAACATCACCGTGAAAGGTTTTCCTCAAGATCAATAGTACACCCATCAAATTTCCAAATATAACTACATGCTTCAAAAATAATTCTATGTAGACAAGATATTTTAACAGAACTGGTAAAAATGCATACTTCTCTGTTAGTACCAAACTACCTATTCATATGGGTTCAACTCTGACACAAACTGAGATGCACATGAGATCCAGAACCAATATCATCTAATGCATACCTGGGGCAAACAAAAAAATGGAGATAACAGTTAAGAGACATAGCTTGAAGAAGAAAATTCTGCAGGTGAGGAAATGAGTGAAGTTTAACCAATATCAGATCCTTGTCAAGGATCTTCACCTCTCCCCCAAGATGTTCTAGCCAACACAGAACAGGGAACATATATGGTCTGGTTCCCTTAACAAACCTGAGTTAGATTAAAATTCACATCAAACGGATCGAGAAATACCTATAATTAAAATTCACATCAAAAGGATGAAGTAAACAAAAGTCAATTAAAATTCACATCAAACAAATCGAGAAATACCTATAATTAAAATTCACATCAAAAGGATGAAGTAAACAAAAGTCAATTAAAATTCACATCAAACAAATCGAGAAATACCTATAATTAAAATTCACATCAAAAGGATGAAGTAAACAAAAGTCAATTAAAATTCACATCAAACAAATCGAGAAATACCTATAATTAAAATTCACATCAAAAGGATGAAGTAAACAAAAGTCAATTAAAATTCACATCAAACAAATCGAGAAATACCTATAATTAAAATTCACATCAAAAGGATGAAGTAAACAAAAGTCAATTAAAATTCACATCAAACAAATCGAGAAATACCTATAATTAAAATTCACATCAAAAGGATGAAGTAAACAAAAGTCAATTAAAATTCACATCAAACAAATCGAGAAATACCTATAATTAAAATTCACATCAAAAGGATGAAGTAAACAAAAGTCAATTAAAATTCACATCAAACAAATCGAGAAATACCTATAATTAAAATTCACATCAAAAGGATGAAGTAAACAAAAGTCAATTAAAATTCACATCAAACAAATCGAGAAGAAGTTTGAATCATATGCATTGTTGTTTGAATCATATGTGTTGTTGTTTGATCAAAACACAATCTGAAGCAAAAAAAAAAAAAAAATTCTGTGTTGTGTTTTTTTTCTTAGTTCTTTTTTAACATTAATTGGATTGGCCCAACACAATGGGTTGAGGCTCTGTTTAATTGGTCACATTTTGTTCTTTTTCAATTGTTGAGAGAGAGAGAGGAAAATGAAGTTTGAATCATATGCATTGTTGTTTGAATCGTATGCATTGTTGTTTGATCAAAACACAATCTAAAAAAAAAAAAAAAAAAAAAAATCTGTGTTGTGTTTTTTTCTTAGTTCATTTTTAACATTAATTGGATTGACCCACTTCTTTTTTCTTAGTTCTTTTTCATGTTAAGAATCATTTTTATTTCATCTTAGTCAAATGAGTTGAGGCTCTCTTTAATTATCAATGGTCACATTTTGTTCTTTTTCAACAATACACAAATGCCAAGATCTAAAAGACACAATCTCAGTAGTTTATCCGCAATTGGATGTGGCAATGACATCGACTGCAACATTTTTAACTGAATGTACAATTCTTTCTGTATGGAATGATGATGCCAGTGCTATCAATATTGCTGCATTGAATATTTTTCCCGATAACACATACTTATTTGGCAGCAGACAAGATGTCTGAAGATGATGAAATTGATCGTACTATAATAAATAGATATCCTAATGAATATTTAAATTCATTAGATCCTCCTGGACTACCGGCTTTTAAGGTAGAGTTGAAAGCGGGTTGTCCTATAATGTTGTTAAGAAATATTGCACCAAAAGATGGAATGTGCAATGACACAAGATTGATGGTTTCTAGATGCAATACTCGCCTAATTGAAACTCAAATTTTAACTAGAGAAAAATTTGGCAATTTGGTATTCATTCCAAGGATATCCTTGACACCATCTTCTTCAAAAATGCCTTTCTGAATGACAAGACGTCAATTTCCAGTTTGATTGGCATATGCCCTGACCATTAATAAATTTCAAAGACAATCTGTGAAATTTATTGGAGTTGATTTGCGCACACCAGTGTTTAGTCATGGGCAACTGTACGTGGCCCTATCTAGATGTACATCTTTTGATCGTATAAGTGTCCTCCTTCCCAATGATAGCCATATTCTACTACAACTATTGTTTATCCTGAAATTTTGTTATAGTGTTACTTATGGATCAAACCACTTTTGTCAAAAGGTACAATTTATATATTGATAAATTTGTTTCTATTGATTACAAATTGTTATTTTAAAAATATTTTACTATATATTTTGACTTTTCTAGGATTGGGTTAAAAATTATATTAAGCTCAAAAAGATAAATACAACTAGATTGTTTCGATGGGGATGTAACAAGGTAATTTCAATTTGAAAGTGTTTTGATATATTTTGATATATATATATATATAGATTTTCTTTTACTAATATACTAACTTTTTTTATTTTCATAAATTAGTAGATTGTCGTGCATGCTTCTCACTGGGGATACATACAAGTTGATACAAATACTTTTTGGAAAGTGATGAGGCATTCCTAGGATTTCTAAGAAAGAACAAGTTTGAAGATCATATATTTTTTTTTTTTTTTGTGAAAAGTGTACATATGCTAGCTATGATCTAGATTTTGTAAAGTTTCCTATCGATGTGAATTTTATTACTTACGATAGTTTTGTAAAGCTTTTTATCTATGTGAAATTTATAACTAAGTTTAGATGCATGTTAGATAATATTCATTTGAATTATTGACTTATGCTATGAGTTTGTTTTTGTAAATGTAACACACTAGGTGATATAGTCTTTTTTTCTTTTGTTTTTTCTTCCTAATATGCTCTTGAATTAGGTTAAAGAAAACTAATCATATTTTGTAACGCCCCGAAATAATCCAACATAAATTAAATACATCAACCAACATCCACTAAATAACAACAACGATTCTCCAATCTTTACACCATTAATCAACAAGGTTTACACAAAAGTCCCACATGCGAATTATACATTCAATGATATAGAAATACATGAATCTATAGCATGTAGAACATCATAACTCAAAAATAATAAAATGCCCTCATGGGCTTACAATTTCCAAGGCTTAAGCCCGGTTACACAAAAATGGCCTCTCGGGCCCATACATGAATAGCCATTGGCTAGCAAAATAAATCACAATAAAACAGAGTTATTTACTCTTCACAAAATATGTCCACGCCTTCAACTCGGCAGGATCACTACGTCATTTCCTACACCAAAATCCCATAAGGGTGAGCATAAAGCCCAGTAGAGAATCCTTAACAAAATATATACATTTATGCAAGATTTCCAATATTAGATGTAAATACCATGTAATGCCAAATTTGAGAAAAAGAATTTCTTTACATGTCTCTTTGAGAGTCACCATGTTCAACTATAATTTGAAATCTCATCAATTTGGAAACTACAATTTTACTCAATGGGGAGGGGGGGTAAATACGACTCTGGTAATCCCTAGGTTGGTGTCTGCAAGCAGGCTCAGCTAGCACTACCGAAAACCCCACTTTACCGGTTGCTAACCAGAAGGGATGTGGTACCTCCTCCGCGCGTGTTTTCGGTCTTTCGCCGCGGACACTCAGGCCAGCTTATCAATTTTGTCTACACCTCTTATCTGGACTTACCAACGTATTTACACCAAACATTACAATAGTTCTCATTTTTAATATTCCTTTTTCAATACAAACGTTTCCAAGTGCAATTCAAAATGTGTAACATTCATTTAAATGATTATGGGATGCAACAATTATCAATGCTTCGTAACATATCTCCCTTCTCAAGTATCTCAACAATAATACTACAACAATCACATTTCCCATCTCCCCTTCTTCAATGTTATTTATCACAAAATAGTTATATGTTCAATTTAAGTTTATTAACGAAAGGCAACATTTTCCCCACTTTGTACAATTCTCAATGATTTGGTCATTTCAAGACTACATACCATGTTTTAAATACCAACTTCCAAAATCACAACTTTCCTATTTCGAGGAACTCAACAATTTTGTCATCTCATAACTATACATGTTCATGCATTTAACAAAAATTTTAAAACAAATCCCCAATCCTCATATACTAAGAAAATTGTCATTTTTGCAAACAACAATATGAAATTTTCATTCATTCATTCTTTTGACACAAGAAAATCTCTTAGGTTCTCCACATTTTCCAAAATCCCTCAAATATCTAGGTTTAACTTCCACCACCATAACACACACAAACATTTGAAGGAAACTCGAAAAGAGGACATCATTCATTGACCAAGGTTATTCAAACGCTCAAGAGACGATTTAAAAGAAACATGATTAAGCCCACCTTTTGAAAATCATAACATTCTTGAATCAATATTAAAACTTTCTTATTTTTACCAGGAAGTTCCAAATCCAACATTAATCTAGCAAAAAGATATATATAACTCAAAGGAAACCCTACCTCAAGTTCATTTTGAAGAGGTGAGATCAAAACCCTAGAGCTAAAGATGAGAGATTTTCGATCTCCACCACACAAAGGGATATTCTAGCTTTGATCTTCAAAACTTGTGAGAGAAGATGGATCTAGACCCAAAGGATTGCAAGAAATCAAGGGTTTTGGGTGTTTGGTGAAAGTTTTTAGAGAGAAGGAGGAGTAAAATGATGTTTAGAGTGAGAGAGAAATGTCCTAAATGTGATACATACACAGCCAAAAAAAGAAAAAAAAAATAGAGATTCGAGCTGCCCGTGCCCCGCACATGCGGAGCCTACTTCCCGCACGTGCGGCCTTTATCCCCGCACATGCGACCATCTCCTCCGCTCCTCACTCTGCACCTGTTTATTAGGTAGTGTGCAACCCTCCCAACTCACTCTTCTCTGCACGTGCAGCCTCATCCCCCGCACGTGCGGCCCAAGGCCCGGCACGTGCGGCTCTGGCGCAGCAGCCCATAATTTTTCTGGTACGCTCCTAGACACTCCGATCTCTGCCTTGCACCCCCCGAACAAGTGAAATTCAACACCGAATAAACAAGAACAAGAATTCATTTGAGGAAGATTTCTGGACATCACAAACCCAATAAAAACAAAAGTGAAGTGACGTAAAACGAAACCAGTCATCACAACCTCCCCACCATAAGAAATTTCGTCCCCAAAATTTAAACAAACCAACCAAACTAAAGGGCTCTAGCAATTATGACCACTCCACAACATTCTCAAGTCACAACATCAATGTTCAACCAACATTTACCATGCTAATCATCATCATTTCATCAAAACAACAATTGCTTATACTAGACATTCGAAATGAAACATCTTTAACAAAAATCCCTTCTCTCACAATCCCATGCTTAGATTAACAATACATACAACACAATAAATTAACCATTTTGACACTTTTCCCCTTCAACACTAGGGAACATTATAAATTAAAACAACTAAGCATTTTCAAATAAATCTGGATACTTGGAGCGAATTTCCGCTTCCCACTCCCACGTTGCTTCTTCAACT